AAAAAAAAAAAAAAAAAAAAAATGAAAGAAGATTGCTCTCCCCACGTGCTTTTTATCATTTACTTTACTAAACTGTAGACGACGATATTAGCTAATTGAAAAAGTGAGACGGAAAATGAATTTATATAAATCCCTTTATAAGGGCATAAACATTAAAAAGAAATCAATTTTGTCAATGTTATAATAACAGCAATTAAGGTAGACGACGACGACGATGACAACGCAAGCGATTTTAACAGAGCACAACCTTACTTTACTTTCTTCGCTTACCGTCTTACAGTTACGATAACGAAGAAAGATTATATAAACGCTACAGATGAGTAAAACAAATAAAATAATAAGCAAATCGAAGACACTAAAGCAAAACAATTATATTGTTGCAATTAATACAAAGAGCAAAGCACCAATAACTGTATGCGTGTTAGTATGGGTTTGGCGCGGCATTTGTGTAAGACATGAAGCAAGCAAAAAAAGTGAAGAGGACGAAATCTGTTTGTTAGCATTGATGACGCATCGACGCAGAAGTACCCCATTCAATGAATTAACTGCGAATGAATGAATGTAACAAAATTCCGGAAGAGAGTAAATAGCGGAGAGAGCGGAGATGCATTCTGAGTATTTAAAATGCATATTATTCGAGCAAATAGTTGATCAAAAGAAAAAAAGAGAGAGAGGACAAAATATGTTCATTTGCTTAGAGAATAAATTCACAGCTTTCGTGACTTTGTCATGCAGCAGCATTAAGGAGAACCGCAAACACCCGACATATTGTATGGAATGCATTAAGACGATAATAATTTTTATAGATTCTGGCTGGGTTTTGGTTATCATTTAAGTTAATGCTCCGAATGGAAACGGTACGCATTGAAGTGAGGCAAACATTTAGCTCTATTTACTCCAGCTGTGCATCAAAGTTGGTCTGTGTTTTCAAGTGAAGAACCAATATCCATATTGCTGTGTCAATGGATAAAAACGCGTAGACTACATTGTTCTAGAATTCTGAGTCCTTGGTAATCTACTTAGGAGTCCGAAATTCCCCTGTCCATTTATTTTTTTTATACCATACACCAGTTAAGGTGTAAATTCAATACCACCTTACGCTTGCCTTACTTTTAAGCTTGACTGACTGTCCGTCTGTCTTATTTTGTTGTGTTCATCCTGTAGGCCCCAAGGTTCTTACAAAAGAACTGTATTAAGCCATGTAGTGTAGGATATTTAATAGTGTGGCATGCCCCAAAAACCGTATTCTTAGCCATATTTTTAAGATTAGAAGGCCATTTATTTATTTATCCCGAAAATAATGCGATACAAACCAAACCGGGTCAAGGCAATATCTAAGTATAGTATAATATGATTAACCTGGACGCTACTTTGAAGTACTTAAGTTATAATTTTATAATTTATATGACATATTACTAGATGAATGTGGTTATACCATTAATTCCATGCCATAAATTATTGTTCGCTTCATTCACTTATGTGCACATTTGGTGGGCCACGTCCAAAGAGAAATCCAAAAGAGAAATTTTGTACGCGAAATGAAATGAGGTCAGACCTGGTTCTACCTAGACGATCCGGAAACAATCGATCAAGTGAGCGAGTATCAGAGGCGAGCAAAGACTGAAAAATCCTTTCTAAAGTCGCTGAAAAAATCAAGGTGATGTTAATAGTTTTCTTCGAATATAGCGGTGTTGTGCACAATGAAACTCGTAACAAAAAATATTATTTAGGTTTGAGGATTACAAATAGATTTTAAAAGAGTAAAATTAAATTTGTCTTATTTTCTAGACACAGTAGTAAATGGGAATCAACGATTTCTCGAATAGACTGAAATCAAGCGATTACACCCTAATCGAATGAAAAATTCATAGTAAGCAAATATCAAAATAAAAACATGACATATTTGAGAATGTCTCCAATGAATATTTCCTAGTGTTACAAACCAACACACCAATCTATTATACCACCTGTACTTTTCATATTAGAAGTAGTTGAGCAAATTAAACATTTTGTTTAAGCCAAAAAAATTTTTACAAGCAAAATATATTTTGTTTATTTTTATTTGTATACAAAGCCTGCCCTTACAAACGCGAAAATAAACTAATAAAGCTTTTCAGTGTATGCTGAAGTCTATTAAGTGAGAGAAATTGAATTACTGAGAGTATGCAAAAGAGAGCATGTGTTTTTTGTGTGATCGTAGTGAACAAGCAACAATAAAGCAACGATTGCAAGCGAATAAAAAAGTAAATCAGTAGAAGAGAGTAGAGTTACTACTTATTTATGCTACTTAGTCGGTTTATTCCAAGTTATTGTAGCTCTAGTTGCATTTTAAAAGTCGTTTATTTCGGTTGTGCGAAGCGCGTGAGAAATCTATTTTCTTGTAAATTCCTTTTAAATTTAAGTAAACTTTTTTTTTTTTTAAATTTTATCGAAGTTACTGCATAATAATATAAAAATGGAAAATTAATTAATTTACGGCAAAAATAAAAAAAAAATAAAAAATATAATAATATAAAGTAAACACACTTTCTAAAGTGATAAAAGCAAAGACAACAAAAAAAAAAAAACATAAAAACAAAACATTAAAGTAATTCGTATAAAAAAAGAAAAGTCACACACATACCAATCATACTTATCGATCGATTATGATCAAATCTAAAACTAAATGCATAGTAAATAAATATTGGCCAATGGTTTTTAACTTGAAAACTGACCGTTTTTTTACACTTTTCTATACAAAAAGCAAAAAACTATCGATGTAACTGAGATTTTTTTTGGTATATTTTCCTTTTTTTTCTGTTTATTTGTTTTGGTTTCTGAACTTTTCTACTACCATTCATTCGGCATCGTGTGGCTTACATCTGTAAATATATATCTCTATATATCTATATATATATATATATATATATATGTATGTGACAGAGTTTTTACGTGCAAAAGTGTTTGTGTGTATATATTGATCGTGTTGTGCTTTTACTAAAACAAAAAGTTTCAAAAAAATTCGCTTACGTTTTTGTCGTTAGTTTTTTTTCCTTTTTTTTTTTTTTGCTTTTGGTTAACATTGTACGTGTGTGTGCGTGTAATTTATATTGTGCTAACAATTTGTTGTACTTGTCGTCGTCGTTTTTTTTTTTTCTGCTGCTGTTGTTGTTGCTGTTTTTATAGCTAGAAAAAATTAAAAAAAAAAGTAGTAAAATTACTTGTGTTACCAGCGTAAGAAAAAAAAAAAGAAAAAAAAAAGAAAAACAAAAAATATCGTGTACGAAATACAATACCAAGCTAAAGAAACTATTAAAGAGGAAAAGGTAAAAACAAACGTGTATAAAACCTTTTCACTTTTATTTTGTACATAGTTTAAGTAAAAATAATATAAAAGCAAAAAAAAAAAGTTAAAAGAATAAATAATTAAATAAATAAAATGCTTTAAGCTGGCATAAAGTAAAATTAATAAACTTTATATAGTTTTTTTTTTTTTTTGCATATATTTTTCTTAAGAAAATTATTAATTAATAATTTATGGACACAAAAGATTTATGCGCTCAAATATCTCGCGGTTATGCGAGCACACAAATACTTATTGTAAATCCATTCTATTCATTAAGAAGGTAAATATTTGAAATGTACTTATATAAGACAATTATCGAATTATGACAAGTTTATCGAAAATACTATATATAAGGAATATGTGTACATAAAGTGCACAAACTCTTAACTACGGTTCAATTTTAAAGTCAGGTTCATAGAGTTTAGGATAAAGTAAAAGTTGAAATAAATTGATAACATCTGACACAAGATAATTGGTTGAAAATTTCATTGAGTCGAGTCGATACATTGAATCCATTATTATTATTGTAATTAATTTAGTTAGTCAAGATTAAACTGATTAAAGTCTTCTAGCAGTAGGATCTAAGGCGATCGGCTTTATTAAAAACTCTGCTGCACTTGAGATTCGAACTCTCGACCATTGAGTTGTTAGTCGAGACTCTTGCCTACTGACCCACTCAGGCGGATAGTAGGCAGATGAATGCATGTCCGCGTATCGTTCCACAACAATATTCTCGTACATTTAGTAGCATTTATCTCGAATATATGGAATATAGTAGTGTGCTATAGGTCCAAGCTAAAAATTCTGATGACTTTTCAGGAAAGTATTCGCTGAAATCTTTAGTACAAAGTTTCGCACTCTTTTAAGTAGTGCAGAAAGCGGCAGAAAAGGCAAAAGAAAGGGAAAGAGAAGAAGCTATATTCTGTGATCAGATATTGATCTTGTTGATTCTTTTGGATCAATGATATATAATGGATTCAGATAGCGACCATGATCTCAAAAGTTACCTATTAAAACCTCTGTCGCCATGAAGCGCACAGTTGATAAAACAACTTTATTTTGCACTGATCCATCTACCTTTTTCTTCAAGGGCCCGCCATTTTTTTTTTTTTTTTCAATTTCTCGGTTCTTTTTTAAAAACCTGTCCAACTCGTCGTTGGCTTGCTATAACCTTTAGGTATGTAGGTACTTGTGAATTTCCTGAGATAGATGAAAGTCTAAAGGAGTCAAGTCGGACAAATTTGTATTATAATTTCTTTATTAAGGGCTTTGCTACCTATGCGGTAAGGTAATGTTTTCATATAAAATGAATTCATTCCTGCTCTACGTCAGGTTTTTCTTTTTTTGTACTATCTCATGTTTCTCGATCTCTTCATTGGAAAAGTGCAGAGTAAATATAACTTGCACATGATTAATCTCAGGCCCACTTCCTTTTTTCAAATGTCGACATATATGACTTTACCGCTGAATGTCAAGCCTTCAATTAGAGAGATTTACAGAAATAGGCTGAATGCTATACTTACTCTTTGAAATCTGAGGCACGTACTGTTTAAATTTATAAATCCAACCAATATTCTATACTTCTTTCGTATCCAACGTGAAGTGAGCAAATCGTTTCGTTCTCCTCTCATGAATATGAAAGACCAAAATTATTCACAGTTTTTCTCTAATTCCTCGATGTATCCATTAAGATAAACAAGAAAGAGTGTTTTAATATTTCAAATCATTATTACATTAGGTAAAGTTCAGTCCGTTATCCATATTCCCCTATCCATTAGAAGTAAGTAATTTCGTATTATTACTTCTTTTGCTCTGTATTTGGATATTTTTTTAGTAAACTTGCGCGTTTTGAATGTTTTAGTTTAATTAAATTACATATCCCTCATCTATCATGAGCATGTTAGAGAATAAATAACACCTTTGAGACTTCAAACGAAGGAATTTGTAAATCCATAAAACACACGTCATAAATTATCGTTTTAGGCAACTGATATTTAAGACAAGTAATATCTGCCGGATAGGGTCATAAGGAGAACAGAATCGTAATTTCAAATATCAGGCCACTAACCTTCCTGTGACTGATTTTAGGGTGCGTGATGGCTCTTATGCTTGTAAATCATTTTCGCTTGGGTTTGTTCCGTATTGTGATCTTTGTACCTTTAATAAAGAAGTCGTTTGCGCTGGTTACACATAGCTTTCCTCATAGATAGTTCATTGGTATAAAAAGTGTATAATAGACTTCACATGCTACGTCTACTTGATCACATCAAATTATGTAGATTATGAACTTGGCGTCATGAATAATCGACTGGGCGTTTAACTTGGTTGACGATTCGTTTGGCGTCTATTAGAGCATTGGCGACTTGAATTATCGTAGCACGTCTAATTTTCATCATTTCTTATAACTCCGCAACACTGTCAATTGAACGAAGAACGAAAAATAACACTACGCAATTTGGGATTTTTTGTTACATAACTCCATAACAGTCGCCAGTCTATATACGCTGTCGTGTAAAATACAAAAATAGTACTTTGACATGGGAAAATAAAACCCTTAACGAATATGGCGCGATACTATTTATTCTCTTCTTTGAAAATCTGTAAAAACTTATTTATAAGAGTAAAGGTTGTGTGCGGATCCACCATTTTTAAGCTACACGAAAAACAAGCATACTGGATTATACTCTGTTTGCTATTATTTTCGTTGTCATATTACAAAATCGTGAATCGCATAAGTATTCTTGAATACAGTCAAACTAAGATGCGATTTCTCCATCCTCATCTGTTTCGTGCGTGAAAGGGTTTGCGTGTCTCTTTCACCCTTGTGTTCATTCATGTAATCATCTATCTATCAACCATCTACCAACTTTCTAAATTTTTCCTCGGGGTAAAAGTCGAATGTCTGTTTATTCGTGCAACCGCCTATCTATAAACGCTCCATCGACTTTATGTATTCATGCTCAACCTGAAACTCCAAGTCGTTCTAGTCACCTCTTTTTCTTTATTCGTGCAACCCTGGATCTATCCACCGTCTATAGAATTAACATATATTCTTGCTCAGCGTAAAATTCAAATTAGATTTAGGGACCTCTGCCTGTTCATTCATCCATCTATAAAGTATTCAGCGACTTTATATATTTTTGTTCAACCGTGAAACTTAAAGCTGATCTAGCCACATCTGGCTGTTTATTCGTGAAATCGCCTATTTATCCATCGTCAAGCCAGTTCATATATTCTTGCTCAGTGTAAAACTCAAAGTCGATTTGACGGCCAATGTCTGTTCATTTGTGCAATCGTCTATCTGTCGACCGTCTCTTAAGTGCACATATTTTTGTTCAACTTGAAACTTAAAGCCGATCTAGCCACATCTGACTGTTTATTCGTCCAATCGCCTATCTATCCGCCGTCTAGCTGGTTCATATATTCTTGCTCAGCGGAAAACTCAAAGTCGATTTGACGGCCAATGTCTGTTCATTCGTGCAATTGTCTATTGTATCATCTATTCTTACTTAACGTAAAATTCAAAGTCGATCTAGCCATCTCTGCCCATCTATCAACTTCAACCTTCAGCGTATCGTTGAATCTTTTATCGTCTCAAAAAGTATGGTTTTAAAAATAGGATCCACTCGAAGGCAAATATTATTTTTATCAATATAATGTTCGTTCTTGGTGATGGCCCTGCAGCTACAAAACCTAGTACTACTAGTCGTCACAAACTGTACTCTACTTTCTGAATTAGAGAAAAATGCAAAATTTTTTTTTTTTTAAGTCTATATTTAACTACAACTAATTCCAATAAGAAGAAGAGTTATAAGGATTTGATTGAAATCTTCGATTGTTCTTTGCATACCAAAATAGTAATAACAATAATAATAATAACAATAATAATAATAGCAATGCTTAAGGGTTAAAACCATCATCATAATGTCTTAAAGCGATGGAAAAGTAAAGAAAAAAGAAAAACAGCAAAAAAAATTTTACTTTGTCATGATGGACATGAATACCAAGAATTCTTCTTCATTGTTGTTACAATAATAACAAAACGATTTTCAATAATAACTCTTCGGATCGCTATATGTAATGTCATTGGACACACTCGATATCTTCTATAAGCATACATTTGAGCATATATGCCTATAAATATACATATACGTATATATGCATCATTGCAGTTATTTTTGCAGACATTAGAATGCAAATATGTTTTCAGGTACATTGGATATACGCTCTAAACGGCACATTATCACTTACTAAAGTATTCTGTTCGCGTATTCTTGTTCGCTATCTAGAGATAAATTCAATATGCCCGGCAGAAATGGAGGCTTTTTCTATTTATATTGTATATTAATACAATATAATGTATGGGTTATGCATATCAGTACGCGTTCAAAACAGAAAACACTTCAAGTGTTGATTTTAAGAATCCGCATTTAGAAATTATTATGCGTTTAGTGTAAGTTATGTTTTTTATTTACTTTTTTTATTATAATTTTTTTTTTTTTTTTTTTTTAAACGACAACAACAACAAGCATTGTTTATGCCGAACTATTAAACAGGGAAATTTTTTATTGTTTTTAATGATGGTTTCTAGCTTCTGTTTTGTTTTGTTTTTTTTTTTTTTTTTTAATAATAATACCCGATAATAACTTTTTAATCACTTTTTATAAAACAATTTCTTCTTGAAACATGAATTCAGGAATAAATGTTAGCTTGAAAACTTATAAAAGTTGCTTATTAACTTATCACTTATCTGCTTGAGCAGTGATCTCGACTAACAAATCTCAAGTGCGATGGAGTTTTCAATAAAGTCGATACCCTTAGATACTAATGTTTTTGGACTTTAATAAATGAATTATTACTAAACTTAATTCAAAATTTATGAATAAATTTATAAAACCGTACAAAAAATGAAGAAAAGCTTCATAGGCTTAGCGACCATTTGCTCTGTTTTAATAAAGTCGAAGGTATCCTTTCCTCATAATTTGTTCCGTAGACATTGCATACGATCACGCCTTGATTCGATGAAAGAAATATAACCATGGGTGCGATGTTATATATAAATATCATTAGCAAAGGCGCAAACCACAAATTTTAGCTGAGGTCTATTACGGTGTTAATAGAGTTCTGTTAAACGAAGTCTCGGAAGAACTTAAATCGTAATGTGGTTGAAATACAGGTCTTCCAGAAGAAACAAGTCTTTATTTTAATTATTAGGTGTATGCATGTATTTTGATCATTTTTATATAAACCAATAATGGAAGTCTCGGAAGAATTTAAATCGAAATATGGTCGGAATAGAGAAGAGACAAGTTTTTATGTTAATTATTAAGTACGTGCATGTATTCTGAATATTTTTATACCAACCCCTGAAGGAAGGATTTTTCTCATAATTTATGTAACACTCAAAAGAAAGTTTCAGAGACTCTATAATATATATGTATTTTTGATCAATGTGAAATTTTGAATTGATCAAGCCATGTCTGTCCGTCTGTGCGTCCGTGTGATGTTTGTTGTTGGCACCCTTCTGGTCGCACAAATGAAGCTATCGACTTCAAATTTGGTAGAAACTTTGGAAGTTGTGGAGATACGGGGGGATTCGCCCCCCGCCAAATATATAACTCTCTTACTTTTTTCAATATATAATCAAAATATTTTCCATAATTCTCTACAACTTTTTCTTCTCTTCCTGGTAACATGGCGATATTGTGTCGAAGGAACGGTATTGGTTTGGCAGCGACCCAATCATACACCTTCGGCCTTCTTCAGCGTTTCAAAATCGCGTTTCAGCCAAATTATGCGGCATCGATCTGAACAAGTGGTATTCAGAAGTCGCTATGCTTTCGTGGTGAGACCGCTAGATGCGAGAGAACTTTGCATTTGAGCTGCAACAATCGATAACTCTTGCAACATGAAGTCGACCGTTGCTACGTGAGAGGATGACTTTGCATCTTTTAGCCGACATTGCTGGTCTTTTCGAATGGTTCGAAATTGCAGTCGTAAGGCAGCCATGTTCCCTCCTTTTGGATGTTTCCCATCGCATGTAAACGTCTAGATTCTGTCGATTCATCAATTTCCAAGCTATCTGCTAGTTCGTTGAGAGCTTGAGCTGGGGCTTTCGACCAATAAGTCTTGCAATTCATTGCCTTAAAATTTTTTTTGCGCCTCCAGATCGTTCTTTGTCATTGACATCAAAATCAGTAATTTTTAAACGGGTGAAGCCAACACTGACAATAGGGATATGATGCAGCAGCTTCACCATAAGTTTCTAATAGTGTTTCATGGGCTTCGCCAGCAGATTTCTTCAAACCAAACAAGGAAAGTAGCAACTGCACGCGCTGAATAACTCAATACTAATAAATGGAAAACTGTTATTTTATGTAGGGAAAAGTCATAATCATCGAATTCAACCGTTGTCCACATTCGAACGTCGCAGTATACTATCCCTGTTACCAATAGATGTTGTTGATCAAAATGCAGGCAAGCAGCCTGCTATATCTGTAGAGTGTGAATTTTTCAAATTAGAAATCGTTTATTCATTCATGTTGAAAATAATTGCACGAATCAATATTTTCCATAATACGGTATTCAGAACCTATTAGCATCTAAAGTATAAAACGGGGGGGCACTAAGTATCAATTCGAACCTAGAAATAGTATCATAGTAGAGAAAGAATTCTGAAATTAATTATATTCTATTCTGTATTATTGATAAATTAAATAGATTTTTACCAAATTTTCAAATACACTTAACAATGACGTAAACTCTCTGGTAATATTCGTGCTTGAACAGACCGGACGTGTTTGATTTGTCTTCCGGAAGACCAAATTTCCTTTTCAGCTACATCCAAAGCAGGTTGACAGTTTCATCTAATACACTAAATACCGAGTTATTTACTTCGCGGCATGCATGCATTGTGGTCCTCAGGTCGATTGCTTTAGCACATAATAACTTACTTAAAATATCATTCAATAAGTTCGTAGGACGACATATAAATCTGGCCACTCTCCAAGGAACCATGTGATTTTTAGGTAGAATCCATTTTCAGACGAAATGAATCAAAATTTCATGACATTCCGACTATTAGTTTCCCAGTTACATTTGTTTTAGTAAGATTACCTTTACTTTTCGAACAAAGAAAAAATCTATAGCGTAACCAAAATATTATTTATATTACACATTACATATGCACATATATTAAATACAAATTTATAAAAATCATTCTTTTTTTTTTCTTTATTAATTCTTTTATAGATACTTATCTAAAATTCGAATAAATCTTTGGATAAAACTTATATTGTTTCCAACTACAACACAAAGGTATGGAATTTTATATTTGAAAGAAAAAAATAAATAAATTAATACAAGTGATGTTCTCAGTTTCCAGTTGTAGGCTTGGAATTTATTTCTTTGATCTCAATAAATTATAATAATAACAGTAATAAGAGCATTTATATTTGTATTATGCGCGAGCACGTCTTGAGTTTAGTTTTAACATTCCGATATCATTTCTTCATATGGGAAATTCGTTTTTGCTGGCAGACTGAGGAAAAGCCTTCGTGGCCCACACATCGGTGTTTGCGGGCTCAAATCTGTCGGTGCAGTCTGACTAGCTATAGTGAATGCTCAGTCGGCACAAGCGTAACGCTTACCGATCGGGCACATGTGCACCAGACTTACGGCCACTCCCTTTTTCTTTCTTCCTCTCCAACCATCTGCACGCTATTCGTTCAGGGAACATTCTCACATATATATATATATATATATATATGTATGTATGTATGTATGTGGGTGTATAAGAAAAACTTGTAATCGAACTGATGCTAATTTAAGGAAAATATCTGCCAGTCCGTTAACCTTTTTCCTTTCTTGGAAATGATGAGTTTCCTACTAGGTCTAAGGGCAATACTTTTTCTTTAGAGATTTCTCAGCCAATATTCGACTGATTTTTGGGTAGCTTTTTCTGAAATGAGCATTTTGTGAAGAACAGCTTGGCCTGTAAAGGAAAATTCCAACTGGAAATACACGAACGAAAAGTTCTTACACAACTCGGGCAATTCTTGGCTGGAATAATGGCATGGTTTCTAAAAGAATTAGTGATGGTTGAAGAAATCTAAAAACTATCTATGTACGGCAAACTTCTAACAGGGCACACTAATTAAAAATCTACGATAACTTTACTTACTTGAAAGCTCGCTTTTCACAAGCGAAGTTTCACTGCAAAGTTGGTACAAAGGTATGTTAAGTTTGTGGCGATGCGTACAACACCCAGAGGAAATTGAGTAGACCCTTCTTTTACTATACCGATTCATTCAGAGTTACTTATGATATAAGCATGTCTGGCCATATGCCCGCCTTGCATTCTTCTGTCTCACAATCTTTGCGATGTTCTAATGAAGTCTGGCAAACTGGCGTTTCTTGGACCTAGACCGAATGCTATTGATAATGATTCGGCTCGGACCACTTTTTCAAGCACTTCTCATATAAAGCCCTATTCTGAAAAGACGTTATGTGAATAAATATAATGACCGTAGAGTGGAATAGGGCGGACCATAGTTCACTATAGGGTTTCCACTTGTTTTTTAGATACCCTCTAAGTTTTAAAAAGATATATATATATACATATGCACATATATTTGTTTTGAATTGCACTAAAATCAAGTGTAAATTAGCAGGGATTTCATTTAAGAGAAAAAAAACCTTGACCTCCATTATACTGGAGGTTATTGCACTTGCAATGAAGTTTAGTTAGCGACCTTTCTGTCAAATATATATATATATATATATATTTAAATGGAATGAAACCAACACATTTTACGCTTTCTGCGGCTTTAAGCGCACAAGTTTAAACGGTGCAATCAATGCAATGCAATCAATTTGTAATAAAATAATTCATAATACAAAAGGTTGCCACACGAAGGCAAGCATATTAAGCGAATATGTAAATAGACATAAAAGAAAAAGTGTGCAATAAATATGCAAAACAATTGCGAGGAACTCACACTCTCATACAACATACGCTTATGGATGGATCATTTTAATGCTAGTAACGCAAAAACGAAGAAAAAAAAAAACTCAAAGACTTTTAAATGTAAAAAAGATTTCTTGACACAATACGCATAATAGGTTGCATTGTAGATGGTAGACACGTTTCTTTTTGCACAAAACTTTTGTATCAGAGTATATATTAAGTGGATATGAAGACACAAGACAAGACATGAGAGAGGTTAGCAATATTTTGCAATAAATAAATTGAAAATGAAAATGTGCAACAGCGGCAGCAAACATATGTGTTGTGTTTCTGTGCGTGTGTGGCAGTTTTTTTCTCTTTATTTTGTTTTTTCTCAGACGCGCATACACACACACACACACGCACACACACGCACGCACATTGTTGCAAGGTTAAATGGTTATCATGTGAAACAATACAATAACTGCAACAATAACAATAATAACAACAACAAAAACAACAACAACAATAACAAAAACTTAAGCAACACCAGCTTATTCACATGCAGTTTATAAATTGTTTAGGGTATCACACAACCACATGATTAAAAAAACACATGCATATACAAATAGTTAAATAAACAAACACTTGCAACGATATTTAATTTTTCTACACACGCAGGCATTTCTTTGTTTTGTTGTGCCACTATACTGCGCAGCTCGGTAACAACTTTGACCAACAGTCAGTCGACAATCAGCAAACACCTATTACATACTATACATATACATGTATATATATATATATATGTATGTAGAGCCACGTAAAGAGACAATAAACCAACAAAGCAACCAAGCAGCCAACTAGCCAGCCAACCAGCCAGCCAGCCAGCCAGCTAGCCAGGCAGGCAACTGCAGCCAGTTTGTTTATGGTAAAGTGAGTAGTGACATGACATGGCGCATAGTACTGGGAAACATCAAAGAGCATGTGTCGCCAATCTGGTTATTAAAAGGGTTTTTTTTTTTCTTATTTCTCTTATCTCCTCTCATATTTCTATCTTTTCATCTTGAGTGCGCACCTATTTGCAACAAAAAAAAAAAAAGGGAAAAAAAAGAAAAAGCGGTTAAGAAAGTTATATTCGCGTTAAAGCGAACTTTAGATGCCCATCGCCTCGAGCAAATACGTATATATTTATAGGACAATCGTTAAGTTTTCTTTACTGTCCGTGCATTTGATGTTTGGTTAGAAACGTTCTCAAGCGGTTCAGAACCTAATCACAATATCACTTTAATTTATTCGTTATATGAAATCTGCATTCTATTCTATATCTATATTTACATTCAAGGTGTCTTCGTTAGGGTATTTTTTGACAAGTTTAAAATCAATATTTTTTCCAGTAATAGTTTAATTACATTCAGTCCTTAAAAATTTGATTGTGATTTCAAGTCACCAGCTGTGAGCTCCAACTAAGTGTCTTCGTGGATAATATCCGTTTAGTGTATAGATTTCGGAACTGAGATGGCTGAAACAATTTCTGATTAGTTCTGATTTCAAGTCGCTCCTATTACGTTCAGCTAGGAATCTTCATTGAAATAATATGAGTTTTCTATACGGACATCCGGACTGACTTGGCTAAAACAATTTTTGATTAGTTGTGATTTCAAGCCGCATCTCATACCCCCAACTAGCAGTCGTCGTGGATCATATCAGTTCTCTATCTTCATTCTCTTGAAATTTGCATACAAATCCCCATGGCTAAAGCGGGATGAAAATTATATTCTAATCAAGAACGTGTATATTTTATGTTAAATAATCTTTTACGGGTTTTTTTTTCCCCCAATTTTTCCCATTGCAAACAGAATAATACAATTTATATACCTTTTTAATATGCTTGTAGCATGCAACTCTTCATCTACATACAAGGATAACAAAGTAATAAGAGCAACAACAATAAAGCAAATTAATGGAACTGGAATGATCGAGTTGATTCTGCCATATATAGAAAGGTTTATTTAGTTTAACTTGTCCGTAAAGGTGCGTGCATGTGTGACTAAATTTTTGCTACATCATTATTATTTGTTTGTAATTTATTTTCTGTTTTCACTCGATGGCATAACAAAAAAAAAAAAAGAAGAAATTTCGATTCTTAAACAATGAAGTCCAATGAAGTTTGTTTTAAGTCATTTTTGTTTTATTTTTTATTTTTTTCTATTTCGATTACAAATTCGATTTATCATTAGTCGACAAATGTGGCCCGCTAGAAAAAAAGAAGAGAAAAAAACACTTCGCACAGTATATATATATAAAAAAAAAAAAAGCTTTTGCGCAACGAGCGATGTGTTAACATCGATGTCGTTAAGTTGAATTTTTCCATAACATAGCCCTGCCTACGTGCCAAGCACCAACAAGCAAGTATATAGCTTGCAGCATATCATGCCACATACCCTATGAATATGTATCGAACATAGCAAAAAGATTTCCTCATAAAATCATCTCCCTTTCTCCCTCTGTCTCTATGACTCTTCTTCTTCGCTTCCTTTTTCCACTTCTCCACTATGTCTACTAGCATTACAAATGATCGATGATCTATGAAATTGTTTTGTATAGTAAAGTAAAATGAGATTATTTCTTATTCGCTAGGGCAGAGGTGCCCAAACAGCGATTCTATGATTCATCTTTATTTTGTTTTTTCTTTAGAAATGTTTAGAGACTAGCAGCGCCGACTGCTTGCTCGATTCCGTCATGTCTTTACAAACGTCTATAAAACTTTATTTTTTAGGACACTTACTGTGTGAATGAAATATAATTTTTATTTTTTGCATAACCTGCACGGCTTGTGGCACAAGAGGACATGTTACGCGTAGGGAGACTTAAGATAGAATCATTTTTTACTTGATTCAGAGTCACTTTCTGAATGAAATGGAAAGACTTAAGATGGACTCACCTTCTTCTATACGGATTGATTCAAAATCACTTTCTGAATTAGGCTCAGCTTGTTTGTCCGTCTGTCCGTTTTGCTTTCTTTTGTTCAGCACATAGGTCGTCATTTTTCAAGTAGTTTCATGAAACCGACATATATTGGCCTGAGGGGCAACGGTTTTGAAAATGGTTCGAATCGCATCACTTTTTGGATAATTTTTCTGAAAAGTCGCTATATGAATACCTTCATTAAATGAAGTACAGAGTATTTTTAGAGTGAAGAGGTACAGAGTATTTTATGGTGGGCCGTGGGCGACTCATTTTAATCAACCACGCAGGGAATGTCTCCCTGCTCTATGAGCACTCGTCTGATGCGGTGAAGCGCGGACAAAAACGGGGAAAAAGACAGAGACAGGAAAGTGGTGGTCGCAGCTTGCGTTGTATGCTTAACACT